ATTTTGGCTTGACATATATTTTAATTAAATAAACTGATAGCGTTCAAGCATTTGAACGATATGAAAATTCTCTCTACAATTTTAGAACGGAAAAAAGGCAACTCGAATCGCCATGAATATTTATTCCAATATAAAATTATTTTCGAAAATGTTTGAATGGAGAAGACCTTTCGAATTATTAGTCATGAGAGTCTTCTCATTTCGGTTTGGCCGATTCATTTAACGGAAAATTACGGAACATTTTTGAGAGTGAACAACACATTATTGTTTTTATCTGGTAAAAAGTTTCGTTTTACTTTCTCCAACTTCACGACTGTGCGTTTTTGTTTCGGCTAATGTAAAATAGGCAATAAATCGATGGGCAAATATTGCGCTCTGCATTTCGAAGAGTCTACTAGAGACCAGAGAGAGAGAGAGAGTCATGTGGCATGCCAATGCTGGTTATCGATGCGCGCCATTCACTCTATCTCACTGCGACATTGTATAAGTATTTATATATGTTTGAAACAGATGAAACGCTGCAAAATATATCCATTTTAATTGTTGTAGCGAAAATTTAATTTTACCAAGCAAGCAGCAGGCAAGCAAACGAAGCGAACATAAACATAATGCACACACACACCACACCAAAAGAAGAGAGTGTGAGCAAGACGGCCAGTTCAAAAACGGGAAAAGAAAGGAACAGAGCGTGGGCTAATGTTGCATGCCATTGTTCACATGAGCTCATTGGTGTGGCTCAAATGGCTTTTTTTATGAGAAAAGAATATTTTTACTAAGCGGTAATTAAATTCCATTTGAGTTCTTTATTGTGAATTTGATAAAAATGCGAATTCGTCTTAGAGAACATTGAAAATGTGAGGTCGACCATCGAAGCGATATGATCCAACAAAATGAATGGCACACTTTGTGTGTGTGTATGTTGACAATAAACTTCAAAGTTGATGCATCACTTTCATCAGAACATTTTACGACTTGAAACATGAGTCGTGTTTAGCCAATTTCAGTGCTCAATTTTGTGTCATTTTGTCGACAACGACATACAGCGTTTTGCAATGGTCATATACCAATTGGTGATACCACGTCTCATTGTACAATGTACATACACTCAATCGGATATGATCAATGCTAGATTTATACAGCGAGACTATTTTTTTCTTTCTTATTTATTATTTGATTACAACTTCTGAGAAAGCGAACGCCAAGAAATGAAATTGAATTAAAGACACGAAATGTGGAAAAGTTAGTTTTGTTGTTGTTTTTTGTTCTTGGGTTGGGTGTCGAGTGTCTAGAGGTGATGTACGCATTTGCTCATTTGCACGGCCGGTCGATCGAATGGGCCGCATTCTGTAGCATATTTGAGCCAAAGAAAAGCGTGAATAAAAAAGGTTGTCTTTAACCAAAATTAATAGTTCCGGTTGTGGATAGATTGAACAATTCATTCTTCTTTCGTCAGGTATTTTAACCCAAGAGTACGACGAAATTGTCGTGCGCACCGTCCGAAATGAATCCAAGCGAGAGAAAAGAGAGTTCGAGTGAGAGGGAGAGCGAAAAGGTGGCAAGTGCTCGGTGAAATCTAATTTCCATGTTAAAAGATTTAGTATTTTGAATCCAATTTAAGGTGATGTGAAGTAACTTACCTCTTCTTGCAAAGTGAGAAGAGAGAAAAAAAGAAATCGAAAGCTTTTTGTGCCGACGGAAACGTGGAACGGTTGTATTTCGGCTGCTTTTTACTCACACTATTTTTGTCCACGTAAAACAATTCACTGTGTAAAATATCGTACGTCTTTTTTTTAGCCCCAAATGTTTACATACACTTTGCCATCGGCATAAAATTAGCAAAATTAAACATTCACTTTGATACGTTCCATACGCGCAATGTTATTTTGTGTGCAGTAGAAAAATTAACATCATTCTTTGGCAAATTCAATTACACGGCTGCAGCATGATTTCATTATTTATGTGTTATGCGATTATGAATGAAGAGAAAGCTAAATCACTTTCAATTTTAAATTAAATGCGCATCTAAATGGATCTAATTTGCTTTTGTTAATTAGAAAAAAGTACACAGAAAATTGGATGGAACATCTCTGCTTCAAATGGAAATGATTCGAATCAACATTTACCATACAACTTTGACGTGACTGTGTTTTGTAGTGTTTTTTCCCCATTTTTTTTTTTGTAAAAAAATGCAGAAGCTTTTTTGGATGCGGTTGTGAAAGAGTTAAAAAACGGTACACATTTTTTTTCGCCGAAAGTTCAGTTTTCAAAGGAGTAAAAGGTTGTAAAAAAAATTAGCCTCAAAAGTGGTTTTTATATTTTTTTTGTTTATTTTTTTATTGAAGGTCTATTTTATAGAAAAACATGGGGAGACAAAAAATATGTTCCGCAGGTGACATAGCTCATGGCGGATTTGCTATGTGTGTGTGTGTGAGCGAACAACAAAAATGAGTTTGTTAAATAATGAGGTGAATATCCATCTGCAGATTGGTCCAAAATTCCGCTTCACTGATCGCTTGGCTCGCAAAATATAGGGAGCACTGTGCAACATACAAAACGGTATGCGAGCGAGAGATAGAGATAGAGAGAGAGGGAGGAGAAAATGGCATAAAAACGTGAGACGTTTCATTTTATTTTCAATATAATATATATATTTTTTTATGTCACTAATTAAATGAACCGATCGCACTCGAAATGCGTTTGAAATACCCATTCGCATTTTTATTCTCGCTCTCTTTCGCCATAACATAGAGTTAAACTCGGAAAGAAAACGAAAATCGAATGACCTGAAGAAGAAGAAAGATTGAGATTTTGTTTTTTTTTGGGGGGAACATTTTGTTAAGCGTGGATGGCATAAACGCTGGTGAGATAGATGTTAACATTGCATTGAAAACCCAATATGACTGCGATCCGACAACAAAGGTAGAAATAAAAAAACATTAAAAGATTATCCAGTCCGAAAAAGGAAATACGATTTGGCAGCCGTTGGCGCGTAGCACACAAATATTTTTGATAAGAGAGTGCGAAATACGTAACGGTATTATAACGCTTTTCCTGTTTTAAACACCTCGTGTATTTTCAGTTTGGATTCCATTTTCGTTCACACTCTCTCTCTCTCTCTCTCTCTCTCTTCGCTCCGCTTTATGTCGAACGTTAAGCACTGACCCCATTTCTTCTTATATTACATTAAAACATTGTAGCATTTATGTCGATCCACACCGTAATTATTGTGTTCGTGGACGGTGATTGTGATGGTATGTGGACCATGTAGTAGCATTTAACAGCACCATGACTAACGACAACAATTGAATGAGTGCGAAAAAGACGCACATATAAATACCCGAAAAAAAACGGCACCATGAATAAGCGCACATACTCACTTATTCGCTGAAGCACACACTGTTGAAAATATAATGAGAGCAGAGAGGAAACGGAAACGGAAAAACAGGAAAAATTTATACGAAATGAGAGGGGGAGAGAGAGATAGACAGAGAAAAAAAACTGAGCAAAATATAAAGTGAAAATAAAAAGACAAATGATGCGGCTGTAGATGCACAGGTAGATGTAACCAGTAAATAGCGACACTATAAAGTCCAGTAGTGTTGAACGGATAGCGCATTTATATGGTGACCAAAGCATGTTTCACAAACACATTGGATCATCATCATCATCACCACCAATATGCCTTTTACACCAATGACTGCCATGAGAAATATATATATGAACCATATAAACCAACGAAATAACCGAAATTGTCAACGTTGCAATAATAATAAATGTGATTGTTGCCTGTATTTCGAATTTTCGTCGCCTCTTTTTTCCGTCGGAATGAATGAGAGCAAATGGATGAAAGAGAAAGAGGAACCAATCTGGCACGAAATGTGAATGCGTTAAAGTTACACATTGTGCGTGTTTCGTGTTTAATTTGGTGCAAATATAAAAACATAATTTTTCGAGTATAAAACCATTGAGCAATGAAAACTGGCAGAAATGGAATAGACTGGTATAGGACACACAGATATTTATGGGATAATGCAGAGAGTTTTGGTTTCGGGCTGAACAAAATGGAGAGAGAGAGAGAGGAAGGGAGACCGAACAAAAAGTGAGCGATATGGAACACACCAAATCTGGCGATTCAATCGAACAGAAAAAAATGTAGCCCTTTTTGTGTATGAAACAAAAGAAAAATGAAGAGGTAGCGGCCAGGAGTTGGGGGGTAAAAGCGAATGATGTAAATAACCATCACACTAGAAAAATTACCGAAAACTCATGGTTGTTGGCTTTTTTTATTCTTCTACACTAGTGAACTTGCGAATTTCATTCTAATATTTTAAGGCATTCATTCACTTTATATCTCATGGGATTTTATGAACTCTCGTCATTCAAATTGAATGAGTCTGGCGTTCATAAATAAAAACCGAACCCTCAGTACCCACACAAACAAAAAGGACATAGGCATTTTTATTGGGTGTGCATTTGTTTTCTAAAATTTCCAAGCCACCGCAAAATCTATTTGACGTAAAGCATTTGGGCGCATTTTGTGAACATCTCAGCGAACATGTTTTTTTTTTGTTTGTTTGTTTATTCGTTCGTTGGTTTGCTTCTTTTTTTTATTTACGTTGGGATCTTTTACGAAAATGAAAGATGGACTGAGAAAATCATTTTGGATTTTGGAAATGATTTATTAAATTTGAACGAAAGAAAAAAATCAACAACAAAAATTCTGAATATTGAACAATGACAATGACATTTTAAATTATATTTACTTCAAATTCACTTAATACATTAATATTCTATCAATGTAAGCATTATTTTCAATGAGAGAAATACCATACATAAAATAAAATGCAAGACATTTTTTTTCTCCATCGATTGTGAAGTAGAAAATTTCCGCTTTTCAACGGACATAATTTATTCATTTCGATGCTTGCCGATAAGTAGAAAAAATTCAATTTATAAAGATAAATCTTAAATATTTGCATAAATGTAATGAACAAAAATGTAGGGGAAAACGATATTACGTTACGTTGAATTTTGACCAAGACACCGAAGCTCTCAATTAAAATAAGTTAAATTTCAACATAATTAACGTACTCCAATTGAAAGCTCCAGTGGTATCAATCATGTTTCGTTTGCATCGTGCACCAAATCCAATTTGTAAAAACATGCTGAGCACAGTCACAGGCAGTCAGTCACATTCCTTGGAAAATTATTTTGACTGGAACAAGAAGCGATCATATTTATTTACATTTTTGATGAGAGCAAATATGCATACGCATCCTGTTACCTGCTACAATATGTATTATGAATGTTGCATTGCTGTGTTTTTATCAACAGTCGAATATCGGTACCGCCTTTAAGCGCCATCAAAAATTATGTTTTATGTCAATTCTCGAATCAAATACAACAGCACCTACAACCAGAAGCATGTAGATTTTAGATTTTAACTTTAAAAATTTACACACATCCAGTTTACCTGAATGCAATTAAATCATTTGAAGACAAGACGATTTATCGTTCTGTAGCCGAAGGCGCGTGTTAAAATGAAAGTCAGACGAAAAAAAAAAGAAAATTGTTTCAACTGTTTTCACATTTGAATAAATACGCATTCAGTAGTACTTGTTCGAAGTTGATTTGATATGTGTTGAACGTCAGTTGTTGTGATTTCTCTTCCTTAGTTTCATTCTGATGTACACTCGACTAAAATCAACCGGAGCTGCTGCCATCATCTTGCCATCATCTCGACATACACACACACACACACACGCCAACACATTCAGCTTAAACCAAATGAATGCACATTTAGTTAAATGTAACTGCTCGACAAAACTATGACGTGCAAAATTTTTAATTGGAAAATATACATTCATTCAGTTTACCTGCTGTTTTTGTTTCTGGTTTGGATGTGTTGTTTGGATGAAAACGCGTGTTATCACAGCTTTTCTCTTCAATCACTTGTTCCACTATGTGTATGTGTGACTAAGTAATTTCAGTGCGAAAATTTCATTTTGATGTAAATGAATGCTTGTTACTCTTAATTAAGCAAAGTGCAACTGACGATTTAGTTTCAAGAAAGCCAACTATTTATACATCACCAAACAGCGAACGCGACACAAACCAAAATTTTAGATAGCGAATAAAAGCAGATAAAACATCAAAAACAACAAAGTTCACACAAATAGACGCGTAAAGCGTGAGAATAAATTTTTGTACGTTATAAAACCACATTCACGGAATATATATCCTGTTCAACGTTTCCAGCTCAACGTTTGAGTTAATGCAAACCTTTCTAGAATCTGTGCAACCACACACATTGTATTGTTTGTATGAATCAGAGATTTTTCGCTTTCCTATCTCATTCAAAAACACAAAACTCCCAACCACATTATGTTTTCCGGCTTTTGGTTTGTTTGCGAGCAATTATGCTGATTGCGTGTTGCATGATTTTTGTTTGTATACACATACGTCGATACAGTTTCCTTTCTATCACGAGATGACCGCAACCGAAATGTCCAAATGAGAAATGTTTTGTTATTTGTTCTATTTCTCTCTATCTCTCTATTCTATTTCCAGTTTTTTCTTCTCGCTACTTATCTGAATGTAACCAAGTGTAATTAATCAAATACATTCATATACTTTAACGACAATATTTTTGTATTTTATCTCAAAAAGTCGAAAAACGGAACTTCACAGCAAAACCAAGGTCCAAGCATTGATTTGAACATATTATGGGAATTTGTTCTTATCAAATACTGACTACTCTCAAAAATTCCCATGCAAACAAAAAAAAATTAAATGAGTTTCGAAAAATAATTTTTGCTCGTGCCATACGCAATCTGTCTGGATTTATGGACTTCAGTGTATGTGTGTGTACGTGATTACGTGATGAACGTTTGTCTATCGGTCACATAATTGACACATGTAATATGCAATAAAATTAACGGATCATTAAACCCTTTCAATTAATATTGATTCCTTGATAAATATGTACAACGATTATGCAGGTTTTGACCGATAATATCTGATGCTGGTGTGAGAGCATGCGTGTATGTGTCCATGTGTTGGGGTTTCAATTTGAAATCAAAATAATAACAAAGATGCGTGCTATGTGTGTAGTGGAGCATTTCTGATTCTCCGAGATTGTTCAAAACATAAACAAACTCTCAATTGCAATGCTTTTGTTCGTGCAACATTTTGTGCACACTGAACATGGCACAAACTAAATTGCATACTTCAAATTAACAAACACAGAAATCACAACGGGAACGACTCCATCACCAATCTCTTGGGCGCATCCGAGTTTCGTTCCGAATAGATGAAGCAATTCAAATTAATTTAATTTCGAAGGTCGTTTTTGGTCATGTAACTGTGTCATAATAATATCGCAATTTATTTCATGCATATATTGATTAACAGTTAGTTGGAACTCGAACTGACCAAAATTATATGAAATTAGTCGTTCAATTCAATCGGGAGGAAATTCTAGTCATTTGTAACACAATTGCTGGGTGCCTAGATTACTTTTGGATTTGATATTCCCAGTTGGTAGTATCTATTGCACCTTCTCTCTCTATCTCTCTTTGTTTGATCTCTAACTTGCCCACACCATCCTTCATTCACGCTCACAGAACAACGTTCCATGATAAATCGATAGAAAGTGTGAAAGTGACTTGTGCATGATGCAAAGCGATTTGCTTGTGTGTTTCCAATCTGCCACATGTAACACATTTTGATAATAAATATTTTGGAAATGGTGAGAATTGAGGGCATTTTGGGTAAATAATATTCATGTCGCATGTTAATGGAATATGCATACAATGGCAAACACAGTTTCATTTCACGCACTCAAAACTCAACTCATGCACTCACACTCATTTGCTTTTCGACTTGGCATTACTCTCAATAAACCATTATTACAAACAATAATTATAATCATAAATGCTATGCTACGCACTCAGACACACATATAGAGATATAGAGATGGATAGAGGGTAGAAGAATAGATAGTGACTCAAAGAAAACACAATTCGTTGACTAACGTCAATAATAATTATATTATAATTTAGATGGCAAAATAGTATGTGAATTCCGACGACGATCTATGTACACATAGATAGATGGGATGAGATTAAGAATATGTGTGTAATGTTAAAAGAGTTTCGATTACCAGCATCGAACGCATTTAGTTCATGATCTTGAGAATGTGAAGAGCATTATCGTTGGTAGAATGGGTACGAATTGATATTGCATATACCCTAATTACAATGTAACGGTTGCTTTCAACAACACAAGCATTTTATAGATATATTGGCCTTGAGCTTTATACATCTAGTTTAAATTGATACATACACTTGGCTTGATTGCGCGTCGAATAAACGCATCAACAACAGTGCTCCCTCTCACTGTTATTGTCTCTTCCAACTTTTCACCATGCTATTATATTTCTGTTTGTCTGCTTTTCTGTATTTGCTCCATTTGCAATTCATTTTCATTTGATGAGATTTCTGATTGTTTTCGATTTCGTTACGTACTTGTTTGGATTAAATTATTTCCGCACATAATTCAATTATGAACATTCTACACTTGTCTTTCTGAATCTTTTGCGCAAACGGTATGTAAAACATTTTCAACGCCACTACAATCAAACCACGTCGCCGTTACAGATGGCAATTCGTCGACACAGGCCATTGAAAAGTGCAAAACCCATAAGCAAAATAGCTGTGAGCTTTTCAAATCATCGGTGTATGTATGTGTGTGTTTTTCTTTTAATACATTGTAAACATCTTTGAAAATTAATGTGTTTTCATTGGATTTTTTCGTCGTTTGTTTTCTTGGCGCGTTCCACCGATGAAGAATAAGAAGAAGAAGAAGAAGAAAAAATGAATCTCGGGATCACTTTCAAGCCTCATTACGTTCAAACGTGATTAATACAAAATGATCGCAGTTGTGCTTCGTTCAAAAACAAAACGTAAAATGAAACGGATTTATAAGAACAAAAAAGAAGCTGCCAAATTCATTTGTACTTTTTGATTGAGGCATTGAGCAGGTGTTTAATTGCACCAAATTCATCGGAAATGGAGGAATTAATGAGATTGCCCGAGATTCAGTTTGTATATAACTTTCGGTGATGTGGGTCTCTTTTTGCCAAACGCTCAAAAAGTGAGACAAACAACCACTCACACCACTTCGCTGAAGAAGAAAAAAAAAGAGAAGACACAGTAAACGAGAGGAAAGATAGGGAAAAAACGACCGTGACGAACGGCACAACAATAAATTCAAGACGCTAGTTATAAGTTCTCATACATTGTTAAGGATGACAATATTGCTTTATTTCATGTTGTTGTTTTTTTATTCTTTGCCGCTCATTCTCCCAATGTTGGCTGTTAAACGAATGGCAATCATTTCTTTTGTTGTGTCAGGCCATTTGATTTTTTATGGGTGCACCCACTTTACTTTATTCCGTGTGTATTGAACGATCCCAAGTATAGTCATAAATTTGCGTAGAAATCAGAGTGTCAGTAGAGTCGATTTCAATGCGCGCGCGACAGAGACGCGTTTCAAATACTTCACCCGATTTATCTCTCTTTCTCTCTGGCCGCGTCGTCTTGAAATAAGTTTCACATGTACCGGGGTACTTTTTTCTCTCTCTCTTCTTTTCATCCCCATGCCACTGTCTTTGGTACAGTATTAGTGTTTTTGAGTAATGTGCTTCACTAAGATGAAGTTAGATGGGAAGCACATGATTCATTTCCATCCGTTTATTTTAACACATAATTTTAAATGAAGAAATTTGTTTGAATTTTTATGTGCGAAGAAGTGTGCTCTCGTTCATGTGGTGATGGCGAAAAAGAGACAGCGTAAATTAAAATGTATATGTCTCGGAAGTGTCTTTGTCTAGCGAGGGAAGGAGAAAGAGGTTTCAATACTTTCTCTCTCTCTCTCTCTCTCTCTCTCTCTCTCTCTCTCATTCAATCTTATTTTCGATATGTGTGAGATCGTTTCCCATTGGAATGCGACAATATACGAGAAATGACTTTATGATGAACCTGTCAGTTTTTCTTATAAGGGTGCTGACTTTTTCTTCATCTCTCGTTCCATTGCCTCTTTTTTCCATTTTTTTCCGTCGACTTTTTTCTCCATTCATTTATTTTTCTTTTGGCAGTGCATACGAAATAAGGCTTAAGTCCATCAGTTTTGACGAGCTAGGAGGCACACGAAAGGTTGAGAGAGAGAGAGAGAGAGAGAGAGAGAGAAACGCATGAAGCAACGGGCGCACCCCGTACAAAACCAACCACTTGCCACAGTGGGATGCTGCAAGCATATATGTGTATAACACTTATCGTTGTCGATGCTGCCGTTGTCTTCGTCGTCATTGTCGATGGGTGGAGGCAATGGTGGCCAACGAAAGAGAGCATTAGTATTATGATAAACGATCAAAACTGAGTTTATTTTCTTTTCGGTATTTTAGCATTCGGTTGCGTTTTGCCCGTCACTGAATCATAATATATACGTTTAAATGTATACCATGTTAAATATATTACATTCAACATGGTATGCAAACAACCCACTTCTTATTATCGTTTGCATCTTTAGTGCTTCGCCGTTTTCCCGATTGTTTTCCTTTCTTTTCGAGTTTCGTTTTTTTTCTCTCTTCTTTCATTCTCTTTCGTGCTCATTTTATTCTCTTTTTTTATTTACATTTTTTTTAGCTGCTTTCTTTTGTTAACTTGTGCTTTGCTATTTTATGACTTATATTTTGAATTGTTTCGCTGCTGATTATATTTCTTTTCTTT